CGAGCTCGGGAGGCCGCGCAGGGCGGTGGAAGTGCCGGCGGGGCCCGTCGAACAGGGGCGCAGGAGGAGGGGGGGGGGGGGGGGGGGGGAGGAGGAGGGGGAGGAGGCGCCGGGACCGCCCAGCAAGTGGCAGAGGCGCCAGGCTGGGCGGGGCTTGCCGAGGAAGAGGCCGTCCCAGATGCAAGCAGGCGCAGGGCAGGTGGCGGCGGCTCAGGGTGAGGAGGCTCACCGCATGGCGCGGGCGCGCGGCGCCCCAGGCGATCGAGTCGCCGCAGCGCCAGCCGAGCCCGCGGCCGAGGCCGAGGCGGCAGGGGGCCATGGCGCGGAGCGGGGGATCGAGGCGGCGGCAGGAGTGCACGCGCGGCCCGAGAGGGCGCCGCGCAGACCGACGACCCCGGCTGGGAGCGAGAAGGCGGCGGAGGAGCTTCACGCGGCGAGAGTGGCGCAAGGCTACCTGGCGTGCGTCACTTGCGGTGCCTACGCCAGAAGGAAGACAGATGGGCTGGGGCGAGCGTGCCCAGGGTGGCCAAGGCGGCCCACGGCCAATGACAAGCGGCGGAGGAGCCGCGCGCAGTGCATCCTCACGGGGCTGCGCCCCGCCACGAGGGAGCCCCTGAGGTGTGGTGCGCGATGGTGAATTTGCAGGCGCGGGCCCGCCTCGCGAAAAGGGCCCCCCCTGTGAATGGATGGCGTGCCGTTCGCTCAAAGCGGCGGGCGGGCGAGGGCACGCGCGCCGAGGCCCCTGGCTTGGGGCCGTTGCTGGGCGGCAGGCCAGCCGCCGCATCGGCTCCCGCGGGGGCCCAGTGCCGCAAGCCTGCGGGCGGGGGAGGAAACAAAAGCTCAAGCCACATATAGTTCATCACGTAACACGCGCACATGCATTCTCCTGTCTGACTGGCTCCAGGTTCTAAGCCCCCCTGGACTTATTGACTTCCCGGGAACCTAGGCAAAACGCAATTGGTTCTGACCCAATGTCCATCCGACCTGGGAACTAATATTATCCCAGCCAGGCTGGTGTCGGCCCCCCTCGGTTCCCTTGAACAGATGTTATATGGTGACACTTGTTGTTCTAACATGTTTCGCGAATCCCTTGCGCAAGCTGGGGCGAAGTGCACGCGCGCGCGTCGTCGCTCGCGCGTGCCGGATCTCTTCGAAAACTTTCGGTTTCGGAAGGATTCCCAAATCGAGCGTCCACAAACACTAAGAAACACACGGGGTTCCGCAACACGTATTTTCAACAAAAACGCGTGCGTTCTTGCGATTTTTGGGAAACCATGCGGGTTCAATTTTTCCATGAAATGCTACCAAACGGGCTTCGCGCGCGCGTGTCGAAATCGTCCGAACGCCCTTGCGCGCGTGCTGGAGTGGCACGATCCTTGTCAAAAAATACAGTGCGAGCCACTCCCGCGCGTCTGCCGCGCGCGCATTCCAAATTCCTGCCAAAACCTGCATCGCCGACGCGAAGACGCCGCCATCGTCGCCGGCGTGATCAGCATCGGTGCCGTCACTGGCTGCCCCGTCGACGCTGTCAGCATCGTCGCCAGCATCGCTACTATCATCAGCGTGTTTACCGTTGTCGACGTTGCCATGGTACCGCGCCCGTCCAAGTCGCCGGCTCGCACTGAAGTGCCCGCTGGGATGTGCCGAGCGGTCAGCGCCACCGCGTTTGCGTTGGTCGCGCCAAACTAGCTGGCCGCTGCGCTCGCGAGCACGCGCGGGCTAGCGCGGCCGCGCATATGCACCAGCCAACACCAAGCACCGCATGGGTTTTGCAAACCAAGTTGCGGGTGGGTGGGTGGGATAGTTGCGCGAATAGTGAAATTGACAATTTCAAGTTCGCCAACTGACTTCCACCACATAGCTGCCACCGCATAGCTTGCACCAGGTAGCTTGCACCACATAAAGTACATCACCTCTTTGTTTCAGAATGTATCGTGGTTTCTGGGGCTCGGATCCATAGTTTGCCCACCCAGACTCGTAGCCTCGGGAGGGCGGGATGGATGCGCGTAATTAACGCAAGCGCGCGGGGGGGGGTCGTTTATTAGAATGCCAGACAGCCCTTGGGCCTTTTTCCACGCCGCAGCGTTCACAGGGCACGGTGGCGGATGATTTCATGTGCCGCTGGGCGGTATTTATGAAGGTTTGACTCCTCCATCAGAGCTGTACTGACCGCGAAAGCATTCCCCAACTCCATACCTACCAGCGGCCCGGAAACTTTCGATGACGATGATATTGGCCTATTCGAGCCACAGCGTGTGTTCTTCAATGAGTTATTGGGAAGATTTGGGGGCCTCTTCTCCCATCTTGCCACAGTCGTATTCATGCTGGCGCAGTTTCTGGATGATTACGACGATGTTGCAGCGTACACCTGGTCTGGCAACGTGGAACAGTATCGCAAACGTGGCTGGTGTTACTGCGAATCTTCCTGGGCGGCCGCTCCACTGGAGCGGAAACCTGCCACTTTGATAATGATGGTCGTGCGGATTCGCTGGTGACAACCTGCTCGGCGGAGCGGGGGGTGCCCGTCACGCCCGACGCTGTCGACGCGGAACTTCAGAGCAAGGTGTTCACAAGCGGCCAGGACGATCGGCTCGGGGTCGCCAAGCTGTGCCACTCCGCATTCGCGCAACGTCTCAATGCTGTGGTGAACCAGTGGCGGGACGAGGAGGCGCAGGAGCTGGCCGCCGTGCTCGCCTTGGGCGCCGCGCCTGGGCTGGAGGTGCTCTCTCTCGCCGGCAGCCGTACCAGCGACCAGGGCGCCGCGCGGCTGGCGGGCGCGCTCCGCGCCCCGGTCGCGTTGCCGCGGCTGGAATGGAGGGGCTCGGGCTCGGCGGCAAGGCGTCGGCGACGAGGCCGCCGCGCGGCTGGCGGGCGCGCGGCGCGCCCCGGGTGCGCTGCCCCAGTTGCAGCCCCTCCGCGTGGATGGCAACCCGCCACTCGGCGAGGCGGGCCGGGCGGCGCTGCGCGCCGCGTGGGCGGAGGCCAAACGGTCGGGTGAGGGGGGCGTCGGCGGGTGCCCGGCGCCAGCCGTCGGAGGCGTCCGCGCGTGGCGGCAGAGGGCGAACATACAAAGACAGGCCAGAACTCCGAGGCCAGAGTTTATCCACGAGTCACCGTCTGGGGATGCGATCTTCCTGGGCCTCGGGAGGCGGTGGATTGTGGTAATTGTATTCGAGCCCCTAGAGCCCGAACGTATCAACACCCGCCGCTTTCTGGCACATCCGCTGCCGAGACGGTGTATACGTATGACTCCAAGCCTCAGGGTAAAAGCGTTGGGGTGGAGTCCTGGTCCCGGGGAAGAGGTCCAGAGCTCCAGGGACGTGGAAGAGGTCCAGAGCTCCAGGGACCATGTTCAGAAAATCGCGAGGCCTGGGCATGGGGGGGCCCCGCGGCCCTCGAAACGAGCCTCGGGAGGCCGACTCGGAGAGGGGCGTTGTCCGTCTTGGTATGAGGTGTTCGATCATGGACTCCTGATTAAACGCAGCCAGCAAGCTTTCGCGCCCAAGAACGCTGAAAACCGCCGAAGGCCGCCAGAATATCGCCGAAGACCGCCAGAAGACCGCCGAAGACCGCCCAAGGCCGACGGGCCACACTGGGTCAATGGTCGAATACGTAGCGTCCTGGACGGATCGAGGCGCCAGAGGTCTGAGATCTCGCTCTCTCGCTCTCTCGCTTGTTCTGACTCTCTCTCTCTCTCTCTCTTTCTCTATTTATCTCTCCCTCTCCCTTTCTCCACGGCCGCAAGTCAGGCCAGAGGGCTGGCCGCTCGGGAGGATTCCTGGGCCCCCGGAAGACTCGCGGCGCAGCTGCCTGAAAGTGTTTTTGTGTGTCCGATCGCTTCCAATCGGCACCACCTGAACGTGCTTACACAATTCGTGCATCGGCGCCGCAGGGGCGTCGCGCGCGCTCAGACATCTTTAGTATAGGCTCGGTGGCGGGTGTTTTTCTGGCCATACCGCTTTGGTAACTGTATGCAATATGTTTGTATTATATGTTCGTCCCTAAGTTGCAGCTGCTCCCCTGATTGAAAAATAAGCCTGTGTCCATACCCACAGCCCCTCCTGCTGGTCCCGCCTCTCCTGTCGGCTGGGACCGATCACCTCCGAAAGCCTTCAAAAACCTCCTCGTCGGTGGGCGGCAAGGAAGAGGAGGTGTCGACGATCGACGCTCAATCCATACCCTGGCTGCTGCCCCTCACTCTGGGCGCCAGGGGAAGCGTGGCCCTGAAGTCAGAATCTTATCAATGGAGCCGTTCTGGCCCCTCGTAAGATCGGAGCGTGAGCAGGGGCATGGATACCCAGTTGATCGCCTACGGTCGTCTGCGAGAACATCAGCGCGCAAACCGCCCGCGCAAGGGCGCTCGTGGGCGTCATTTTTCCTCCACGCGGTGTGCCAAGCTGGCGGCCTGCGTGAGGCCGCCGCGCAAGGGGCCGCCGTCCCGTCGCGCGCGACACCTCTTGCGTGCGTGCGTTTCCCGGCGTGCGCACTCTGGATGGGACAATAATCGCCCCCCCTTGAATCCGCTGGGGGGGTTGGGCACGTGCTGTCGGCACGGATGGAGGGGGGTTGGAGGAAGAGGAGGAGGATGAGGAAGGGGGAGGATGATGGAGGGGGGCGGGATTGGGCAGGCTCAGTCAGAAGATTTATCACCCTCGTGATATCTCCAATAGAAAAAATATCCGGAGTACCTTCGGGAAGCCGGCCACAGGGCTTCCACCACTTCCTCGCGGCAGACTTTTCATCCCGAGCCGTATTTGGGATGTGAGGGTCTTGGCGCTGGGAAACGGCCGCTACGGGCCGCAAACGGGGGAAAAGCGGCCGTCAAGTTGTCTGTCTGGCATCGCATGGATCTGCGTCTTTTCATCCCAGGTGACGGTCCGTGGTTTGTGCATCAGTTTCGCATCGGGTGAGGACACATGGTGCAGATGGCTCGCTTCCTCTCCCTTTTCTCTCACCCCCCCTTTTCCAACCTCGTTGTGCTGGGAAAAACTTCCTCCCAGGTGACGGTGATGTTCCCCAGCAAGTACAGCGTGGACGCGGCCGGGGGGCTGCGGCGGATGCTGCAGGCAGGCGGGGCCGCCCCCTTGTTTGGGAGTTGAAAGTCAGCATTGGCGCTGGTATATCCGCGGTCGAGAACAGGCCTAATCCCGCAGAGTCCCGCGCAATCGGGCTGAATGTTGGGTTCAATCTGGGCTAATCTGGCTTAGTGCGCCTCCGTGTGCCAACACCTCAGTAGATCCTCCGTGTACCATTTGAGCTCAGGCGTTCGGCCGTTTCAGAACATCGGTTGGGCGTTGAAGCTGGCCCTTGGGCCGTGCGACCTCGACGCCGCGCTGCGGCGGGTCGGTGAGAACACCTAGCTTTGCGCCTGCGATGTCGAAGCTTGGGTCGCCCCCTCGGGCACGGAGAAAAAGGGCGGTTGGTACCGACGCGAGTGGTGGCAGAGGGGGGCGAGCGCGAGCGGCAGCGGAACTCCTCCAGACGACACTTCGGGACAGGAGACCGGCCGACACGTGGACGAGTCGCCCCATGTGTCGCCCGCAGGGCAACGCGATGGGGAGTTGCACGATTTCGCAAGGGGTACGTGGGCCCGAGGATCACCCCCGAGGAGAAGCTGTCTCCTCAGGTCAAGGATTCTGTCGGCACCATCGGATTTCCGGGCGGCCACGACTTCGCCCACGTCAGACCGTGGGTGGCGAGTGCAGGCGTACGTTCGTCAACAGGGTCGCCGATCTTTCGTCGCCGTGGCACGACATGTTACCACTGCCACGACATCAGGACGCACGCTAGCCCACACTAGTGGATCAGGTTGAAAACCGGGTGGTACAACATGGTGAAACTGCAGAAGGAGGAATCACCGTCTCAGCAAGTTGTGACCACCAGCGGCTCCATGTACGCGGAGCTCGGGAAGCACAGACGGGCCGGTCGTTCAGAACGTATACTTGGAGGAGGTCTATGAGGTCATCATGCAAGATTGGCGGTTGGGGGCCGCGGCCGATTGCGCGATCACTCTCGGCGGCGACAATCACATCATGTACAGTTGTCCGCGCTGCAAGATGCCCCCCTCAAGCCGAATGAGTGGGTGCGTTGCGTGCTACCGGCGCAGCAGGACACGCATGGAAGCACCGCCAGAACCGGCGGCCACTGGAGGTTGGTCGGCAAGAGCTGTGGCATCAGGTGGGGAGCGAAAGGTATTGACGCGTGGGATTACCGAGCCATCGTCTTCCCGTCCCAAGACATCATCGACGCGGGGGGGCGCGTCGGATGCCAGCGACGAGGAGATCGAGTCCATTGAACTGTCCCAGGACCACAAGTAAGGCGTCCAAGCAGGCGGAGATGGTCGATTATGGCCGTGGCGACTTCGAGCAGGAGAGCACCCTGACTGTGTTTGGGACGGCCGAGCTGGTTTCCACCATCCGCATCCGCAATGGCGACAGCCTCTCCGTGAACGGCCTCATGGAGAGAGAGGTAGACGCGGTCGCGGAGGCCACCGGCGCCAGCAACGAGGAGTCCGACAATAATCTGAACGAGCATGTGCCCACGTACTCGGACGAGAGGACCACCATGGCTGAGTCCAGGCAGCTGGGCGTCCGTTCCTACCGCGGGTGGCCGCGCCTTTCCTTGGGCAGGTTCACGGGCAATTGCCGCGCTTTCTGCTTATCTGCAGAGTGGCCCATCCTGAATTACCAGGAGCGTATCAGCCTCTTCGATTGTGTACTCCCGTTCTTTACATCAAGGGCGCCTGCGGCAACCCGAATGCCCAGCCGTCTGGCACCGACGGGGGTCGGCATGGACAGGGCGCCCATCGAGTTCGATGGCGAGAACACCGGGCAGTTTCGCTCGGGCGCGCCCGTGCGCTGGCGGAAGAGCCAGGTGGCAGCCCGCTGCGGAGAGCGCACACAGCGGCGGGGATGCACGCGACTTTTCGGGACGGGAGACACGCCCGCGCACTGGCGAAAGACGCGGGGGGCAGTCCGCTGAGGAGGGCGCCGGCAGTGATTGGGCTCCACGCGATCCTTCGGGGCGGGACCAGAAACCGCGCGCGCTGGCTGGAGCGCTGGCCTCCGCGCGGCCCCGAGACGGGAAATGTCCACAAGCGGGCGCGCCGCGGTGGGCGGGCGGCCCCGGGGGCGCGGAGGAGCAGGGCGCGACGAATACTTCAGGATCCACGTGGCGCTCGAGGATCCGAGGTAGCACGTGATGGACGACGCGACGAAGTCCCCCCATGATCTTCATGATGCCAAGCACGCGCCGGCGGGCGTCCCGGGAGGTGCTTCGGGTCGTGGCAGCGTCTCCGATCGACGCCTGCTCGGAATGCCTCCCCGCTCGGATGCTGTCGACCGCTCGCCTTTGGACGTGTCCCGGGCGGGGCTCGGCGGCGGCCCTCCGAGCAAGGAGGGGCTCCGAGCGGCTGCTTGGCGCGTCTCCGGGATAGTCCTGAACCCCCACCCGGCCCTCCAATCGGCTCTTCCAAGGCGAGGGCGTCCTTCCTGCCTTTGCAGGCCCCCGTCCTTCCGCTGCGGGCGGGGGGGGGCCTGGCGCAGGTGGGAGGTGCGTCGACCGAGGAGAACCGATGGAGGATGTGCAGGGTTTCGAAACCGCGCTTCTCGGCCTCTATGCACGCGCGGCGGCGAGCGCGGCGACGGTGCCACGAAAAGAGGAAGAAGAAGAGAGGTGAGCAGGTGGATGGGCCCCGACGCCCGTAGCGTCCGGAGGGGGACCAGGCATCCTTCTCTCAGTTCGTCGTCTCCCTTGGCGTCTCATTCCCATTGCAGAGCAGGTTGCAGCAAGTTCCCGGGAACGGCAGGAACCCTGAGCCAGGGCCCCCCGAACCGCCACCCGAAGAAGTGGCATCACTGTCTCCTGCTCCCCTTTCACCGCTGTTAGGGCACATCGAGGATGCGCCTCCGCGTTCCAATGCGCAAGTGCATTTTCCTCGACCTCCCGACGTGTGATGCCATTTGGGCTTAGGCGTTCTGCTGTTTCAAAACAGCCCGCCCACCACCCTGGGGCATCAAGTTCTTAGGGGGTGGCAAAGGCCCGGAACCCCACCCCCCTGGAAACGCCACCCGAACAAATTGTATCACAGTCGCTTCCCCCGCTGTTCCGTCATCGCGCCGCTATTGGGGTCCATCGAGTATGCCTGTTGTATTGTAGTTTGCGAATCGATGTGTGTTTTTCCTTGCGAAGACCTCCCAGAAATCGTTCCTAACGCTTCTCCCCGCCGCGCTCGCGCGTGCCCCTGGCAATCACGAGGCCTGGACCTGCCTTGCCCGCTGGAGCGGCCGACGTGCTTGTCAAATTGAGAGAATGTGTCCCCAGACTTGTATCTTACATTTCGCTGTGGGGAGCTTCTTCGGGCCACCCAGCGGATCTGTTAGTGTTTAGCTAGCTCAAAACTAGTTCGACTCCTGCTCGATTCGAGCTCCATTCAAGTTCGACTCGAGCCCGAGTCGTCAAATCTACGGACATTCGGCTTCTGGTCCAGAATTTCGAGGAAACCCCAAACAATGCCCCAAATCGAAGAGGAGCCGTTTTCCATGGTTGCAGCTGCTACATGTGTTGAAGGCCCTGCCGAGTTGTGTAAAGCTAGTCTCGCACGGCAGTTTTTTGGGGGAATATGACCCGTCCTCCATCGCAGCGTCTATGTTGCCTGCGGTTAGTACGAATGCGCGCAGCGCTCAGGGTGGATCCCCAGGTTGAAAAACAAACTGCGCTGCACATTTGCACCGCTCTGCCAGCTTTAGGAAAAAAAAACTGATGCTCGCCGCTCTAGGGCAATCGCCGCATGTGGAACCCACTTATGTTCCATCTCCATCGCCGCTTCAAGTTGTCAGTGCGACACTGCGCGGCGCTTGGGCGACAGCTCCATTTGTAATAACGGCCCCCGACACCGGTGCATCCGCCGCGAAGTGTAAGTTTCAGCGTCGCAAATGGTGAGGAGCTGTCAGACGAAACGTCCGAACCCCGCTCACCCGACACACGCGTGGGGGTGCGACAAGGAGGAGCTTCGCATCTAGAAGAAAGAGCGGATGGAGGAAGAGGGGGAGGAGGGGGAGGAGGAGGAGGAAGAGGAGGAGGAGGAGGAGGAGGAGCAGGAGGAAAAGGAGGAGGAAATTCTTAGGCACAGGGGGAACCGCAACAGGAGGTGGAGGACGAATGGAGGAATTTTCTCCTCCCAGTTCCCGTCCCGACGGCCACCCACGCGGCCGTTTGGAGGAGTTTCCAGGGGCCGAACGAGGAGCGGGGTGGACGCGCCCGCCCCCAGCGAGCCGAGAGAGGCCGAAGTTCCTCTCTCCTCCTTCCCCGCCTCCTCCTCCGCCTCATCTTCCTCCTCCTCCTCCTCCTCCTCCTCCTCCTCCTCCTCCTCCTCCTCCTCCTCCTCCTCCTCCTCGGGGGGGCTTTTCTTTACGCCTTCTTCCCGCCTTCCTCCACATGTTTCGTCTTTTCAGATGCTGGTGGCGCCAGGAGGGGCGCGAGGAGGGGGGAGAGAGAGAGAGAGAGAGAAAGAGAAAGAGAGAGAGAGAGAGAGAAAAAAAAAAAGAGAAACAAAAAACAAGAGAAAGAGAGAGAGAGAGAGAGAGAGACAGAAAAGGCGAATGAGGGTGATGATGCTGCTGCTGATGGTGATGACGATGATGATGGTGATGCTGATGCTGATGCTGATGATGATGATGATGATGATGATGATGATGATGATGATGATGATGCTGATGATGCTGATGCTGAGACTGATGCTGATGCTGATGATGATGATGATGATGATGATGATGATGATGATGATGATGAGGAGGAGGAGGAGGAGGAGGAGGATCCGAAGGCATCTATGCACTAACGTGCCTGGCCAGGTCGATGGTGGTGGTGTATGGATGACTCTGCGTATATGCGGAGGATGGGCGAGCCCGTGAAAGGGAAGGCAAGGAGGGGAACAAGTAGCGGGAGGAGGATCACGATAATGATATTACGGATCTGGAAGCCGTGAATGAGGCGGAGGGGCAGAGAGAGGAGGAGGAGGAGGAGGAGGAGGAGGAGGAGGAGCAGGAGGAGGAGGAGGAGGATGAGAAGA